GGAGCAATCTGTAGAGCTGGAAGCTGAGAACTGGCGACTTTGTAGTACAACTTTAGCACGCGGAGTATCTGGCAAGCTGGACGATGAGAACTGGCGACATTGTAGTACAACTTCAGCACGCGGAGCAATCTATGCAGCTAGAAGCTGAGGACTGGCGACTTCGTAGTACAACTAGAGTTGTACTGGCGAACAGTGTAGTACGCGGAGGAGTCATCTCTCGCTGCTCATTCATCTCTCGCTGCTGAGTCAGCTCTCGCTATAGCCATCTCTCGCGGCTGAGTCATCTCTCGCGACTGAGTCATCTCTCGCTGCTGAGTCATCTCTCACGGCGTGCACGTTCAGTTCATACTGATAGTATTTGGTTGCAGTTATGCAGGACAGGACATTCAACTGCTGGTCAAGACACCACTCGTCATACACCACTCAACATACACCACTCATCATTCATCACTTGTCATACACCCCTCATCATACAAGACTCATCATACATAGTCTCAGAGTTCAAGACAGATTTTACATTCAAATTCGGATTCCATTCAGTCCGATGTGTGATATGCAAGGTTTGCCGCCACTGAAGAATGCCACGGTGGGATGTGTGTGTCGATGTGGACCGCATCCTTGGCAAGTTGTGGTGGCCGGATGTGCGTCATCTCTCGCAGGGGGCACACACACCTTACACACGTGGAATCCCGTGGGTCAAAAGTCCGGAGCGCGTGCGTTTGACTGGAGGACGCGCATGTTGGAGAGAACGTGGACACTCCTATAGGTCAATTTCTTCTTATAGGAAACTTCCGCCGCCGGCTTGCCCGGGAACTACTTGTAAGCTGCTTGAGCACCATTCATTGCGATTCAGATCTGTATCAACATAGGGAGAAAACGTCCCAAACACCCTGTAAACAAAGGACATGGTGTTTAAAGTGTGGACATGGTGTTTAAAGTGTTGATTTCCCTTATTTCGTTTCTATAAAGGCTTCAAGCCTTTTGGTTGTGACTTGGTGCACGCAACCCAGATTGGTGCACCAAGCGCTTGTCCAAGGGTCGGGCTCTGGCCAAACGCTCGGCTTTGGTGCGCCTAGGGTTCAAAGCTTGACGTGCAACCATAGTGGGTTAAAGCTGGTGTACGAACAGACATTCCCAGTAAAATCTTGTAGTAACCATCCTAAAGACATCATAGAACTCATATTTTTTCTTAGGATTCCTATATCCTCTGTTTTGGTCACCTGGACTTTACTTGGATTGTGTTTGGGGTCCAACGACCACCTTGACCCACCGTCGCACAGCTAAGCACCCCGTCGCACGCTTTGGTGTTGCGCTGAGCATGTCTGCAGAGACTTGGTCTGGTAGACGCCCTGGTCACCAAGAACTGGAGGTCTCCCTTTAAGACCTCCAGTTGTTCATGGTTCATGGTCCAGTTCTTGGTTCATGGTTTTCTGGGCCTTTCATATCCTCCTCTTTGTGGTTGATGATCTTCTCAAGTACATTCATGGTCTTCTCATATCTCATATCGTTTGCTGAGTGCGAACCTTCATAAATCAAATACATTCAAATAAAGTCAATATCTTCACGAGGTGTCACAAGTGGCCTGTCAGTCCGCGCTCGTCCTCCTCATCTGAGTCACCTCAGAGACATGCTGACACTAGTACGGTAAAGAACTGGCAAGCATATCCAACTTGACCCGATTTTTGCCCTGCGCACGCAGCAACCTGCGCAGCAACATGGGGAGTATCTCCCATCACTTGAAAACCAGTAAACCAGTTTGCAGAGAAAGTCGTAAGTGGAGCCTAAATCTGTTCTACAAGAAGCTGTGAACTGCATCGCATCGTCCCAAACGGCATCGCTGGGAAGTGATGTTTGAGACATCCAGCACTGACTGAGGATCACGTCTCCGTCTAAGTAAGCACGGGCATTGGAGGATGCAGGGCATGAAAGTGGCCACTGACTGAGGATCCTGACTGCCGGAGCTGGAGGAAGAGCTCATCTCCTGGTGCAAAATGTGAGTTGCTGGTTGCATTCTAGTTCCTATGTTTGATATTTTTTTATGTGCACACTCTCAAGAGGCCGGAAGGTAATGAGATGCAACGAGTGCGTCTTGAATTAGCAGCAATGATGCACTTGCAAATTCCTTGAATGACCACGGATGAAGTCAAAGCCAAAGCATCAATGCACCAATAACATACCAATACATCACAAGTACATCTCAGTACCAAGCGGATAAAGAAGCTTCACACACACACATGCCAATGCCTACATAAAACGACTAGAGTGATCGTGCTAACATTCCCAAAACTGATACAGTTGTTGTTGCATCGGTTCAAACTGTCACTCCTCAGCAGGACGCTTCCTTCCCATTTGGAGTCTGGCAGGGTGAAAGGTGATAGAAGTAAGCCGGAGAAAATAGAAAACAGAACGAACACAAACGGATTTTGAACAGAAGATCAATGGATCTAAATAAACTTGGTGTGCTTGTATTTGACTGCACCAGTTGAGCCGTTGAACCTAATACTCATGTTCAAATATGTTAAGCCCCCTTCACACAAAAGCCTTGGATGGGCTTCTTATTCTATATATATATATACCTGAGAAGGGAGGGGACGAAAGCCAGCCACCGTAAAACATATCAATATGGTTATGGGGTCTGAGTGCGACCCCACCTCTTTTCCTATCACCTCCTCCCCCGCTACGCCCATTTTGTACATGACCTCCCACTCGATATGGGGTGCCCTTTTGCATCTGGTCAACCGGCCTCCTCACCACAAGAGAAGGGCACCCCCAGGCAACTCAAAGCTTGCCCGCTGCATTCTGTTCCCGCTCTGTTCTCAATGAATGGGTCACATCGTTTCTTGCAATCCCTCTTTTCCTATCACGTCCTCCTCCACTATGCCTGTCTCGTCCACATGAACTCCCACCATGGGGTGCCCTTTTGGGTCCGGCAACTAGACCTCTTCACCGTTAAAAACGGGCACCCCCAAGCAATTCAAAGCTTGCCCGCTCCATTTCGTTCTCTTTCCAGCCCTCAACGGACCACCGCATTACATGAACTCGCGCCCCATATGGGGTGCCCTAGTTGACAGGCGTCTTCACCATTAAAAAGGGCACGCCCAAGCAACTCTAACATTTCTTGCAAGCCTATGCCTGTCTTCCACCTCCCCCACAGCATCTTGGTTCCTCACAGATCACTTACCTTTCACACTATTTCACTGGCCATGAGAGGCGCGCATCTCCCTTTTCTGGAGGATGAACTCCCACCCCTGGTAGAAAACGGTTTACATTGCCTCCTGAGCACCTCGTGATGCTAATGATGCACTGGCCGTCAATTACATCACCAGCATCACAATACCACCAAAAACTACTCATTTTCACTACCAAGTGGCAACCTTTTCTTTTTCGCTCTCCCCCACCAGGCTCTGGGTCAGCCTCTCCGAAATTGGCCGCCTTGCTTGCGACCCCCTTTAACTCTCCTCTACCTCAAGCCTAGCCTGTCGGCTGGCTTTCGTGATATGAACTCATATCCTCCTGTCCAGATGCATTTTCAGTAGAGCCATTGCTGTGGACTGCTCGATGGACTGCGCCAGAGTGGCTCAATGGACTTCTGCAGCCGGAGCTTCCGCAGTTTTTTGAAGTCATCGGGGCTGAGGACCTCTGCAACCGGGGCTTCCGCTTCGAGTGATGCAAGATTCGGAATGAATCAGAATCCAGTCTTGCCAGGGTTTACGATAATTACGATGCAAGTAAACTCACCACACAGCAAATGATGTGATGCTTAGCAGAGGGAATTGCCAAAACAGTGATAAATAACTTATGATGGTTCCAGGATGTTCCAGGGTCGGTTCGTTTGATTTGGCCCAGTTTAGGAGTTGTTGGATTCTTGTTTTGCATTCCCAAGAGAATAGAGTGCAGAGATAGCTTCCTTTTGAACACGTCCACTTGCTAGAAATCTAGAATTCAAGACAGGCTAAGCCTGTCTTGAATTCTGCATTCTGTATGTGATTATATGCTAAGAAACAAAAGAACACCATGTAACTACATTGGTCCGGACACATTGGTTCCGAGCAAGCCCCACAAGCACATCAACTTTCGTAGCTGACGTTGCAGAATCCCTCTCAACCCCCTCCGACTGTCATCTGATATCCGACAATAATATGTGTTGTCTCACACCAAGGATGATACGGCAGCTGTGTTGCCCTGAGCCCCATGCTTTCTCTGTCATCAAATCTACCCTGCCAAGAAGCACAGGTAGATGCAGAAATCACCTAAACTAGACTAAGTCGCTGCTGTGTTGAGGTTCCGGCTCGTCACCTTCTACCTGTGAACTGTGAACTGGAAGTGCGTTGCTTGAATTTTTCAGCAACGAGCCTGGCCTTGCTTTTCTTTGCTAGGAGGTCGAGGCCCTCAATCTTTTCTGAAGCCTATCGTGGTGGCGGGGCGGCTATCAAACCGATTTGATCCCATAATAACAAAGCTGCTCACAATGAGATAGCATCCCTCAGCTCAGTATAGACTGAGTCCCCACGGAATGCTGCAGGCCACAGGAGCAAATAATGTTGTTGCATCTTGGTGATTTCAAAACTACTCGCTCTGGGGTGTGAGAAGTGGTTAGGCAAGCCCCAGCAACAAATTGTTTGTTCTAGGCAGCGAATGTCCGCATCGTCTGTGGTGATGCAACAGCCAACTTGTTTGTTGCAATACGAGATCGCAATCAGTGTTCAGGCCGACAAATCAGAGCCAGAATTTGAAGTGGAGGAATATCGAAAACCTGTTGACAGTGATGAAACGAGTACAGCATAGTACAGCACACCTCTCACATTTATGAGGTGTAATTTGTGTCATTGATCCACCCACTTCGCCTGCATCTCACCAAACTGAGGGGCTTGCACCTCGCCGCGGCCTCGGTTCGCCCAAGGACGGCGAGTCAGTCGAAACGGTTTATAGTGGACGATCGCTCGGATACACCAGCTTGCTGTACACCCTGGAAGAGACCCAAATGGAAACTGAAAACCAGTGGGTTGCTGTAGAGGAAAATAGTCTTCCAAAGGTCCATGTTCAGGTTCCATGTTAATTTTCCTGAGTGTACCTGTAACTGCTCATGGAGGACTGCCCGAAGATTCCATAAGATTCCGCAAGCGAAGATTCAGAGCGAAGAAGAGACAATGTTGAAGGATCCCCATCCGTGAGCAAGGTACGCCAACTTTGGGGGGGATGTGATTTTTAAGGAAAAGGCTCAAAAACATTCAAAAACCATGGAAAAATGGCAAGCCACTGAGACACTAGCAGCAGTTCCACCGTCTCCCCATCCATGGCGGGTGGCAACCTGAGGCCCGCACTGACCGCCACCGTGGCCTCGCGACCTCGCAGCGATCGGTGCAGCAGTTGCGGGTGAAGCCTCAGAGACCAGCATCCGCCGCGAACGGAACGGAACGGTGTCCGTTCTGTTCGTGGAGGAAAAATGGCCAAGACGGAGACCTGAGATGGGAGACGAAAGCATCTGTCCATCTATCTCTTCAGCTTCTCTCTCTGTCTCGCTGTCTCCCTGACACTCTCTCCCCTTCTATCTATCCAGCCAGCCAGCCAGCCACGCCAACTTGCCTGCAAGTGTATGCAAAATGCAAATGATGCAAGTTGTCAACTTGTGCGTCATCGACATCACTAAGACCAACATCCAAACTTTTTGACACTCTGTGCCATACATTTTTGCCAAGCTATTTGGTCCGCCGTGATCGATACGGAGCCTCTGCACTACACACCCTCTTAACTTCGTTCGCTAAACACGCTAAACAACTCTCGGCTATCGGCTGGCAACTGAATTTCGAGACCAAAAATTGGCTCGCCTGTTTCTACAGGTTCGTGTCTGGTACGGAAAGCAAGTGCAGAACAAAGGATACAGATGGTTGGAGGCCACTCGCATTTGTGAGTTCTTGTCACGTTCTCCAGATTGACAAACCCTTTTTCATCTCCACGCACCTCCGATGCCTGGTGACCTGGGATTCTGGCTCTCGATACGTGTTGATCAGGCTGCGCACCTGGACGTGGGTCCATCCGAGTGAGATGGGCCTTCATCAGGCGCTCCGTGCATTCTCGGCAACAGGTGCACTGAGCTGCGAGCTGCCATCATGACGCCTTGCGGCAAAGATCAGCAAAGATAGCAAGTGTTGCAAATCTCACTGCTTGCCAGGGCGTGAAGCCTCAATAGCGATTTCAAACGGATTTGGTCTAGTTGAATGGTACATGATTTGGACTGACTAGCACTGCTCGCCTTTGCTTTTATGCTTGCGAAAGCTACAGAGGTCCGCCAACCTTAGCCCGAAAAGGTAATGCAATTCCTCTTAAGGTGCTCTTGCCGAATGCTAAGAGTGCCACTCTTCTTCAGTCAGAATGTTGATGGACCTTGGCAAATCTGGTGCATCTCTCTTCGCCCAGCACATCCCATCACTAGTTTTCATCATGTTGACTTTCACTATCATGCCCAGAGTGTGAAGAATGTCACTCGTGTGCAAAGGAGCAAAGCCCGTGCCTTGCGCACACCTCCCGAATGGTATTTAGACCTCAGGATTGCTTGTCATTTCTTGGTATGAAATGATCAGTCCAAAGGATCTCTCTACTGAGTCGCGTCTGTCCAGACTTGGAGCATTCGGGTTATTGTCCGCGGATTTGATGGTTGGCTCCTCTTCACAGACTTGGAAGTTGATTTACCTTGAATGTCCCTGAAGCATCTTGAAAACACCTTCTTCCTCACAGAAAGTTCCACTGCAGCTTATAAGCCCAATTGAGAATATTGAGACCCCTCGAAATGCGCGATCAATCGCGTACGTCAACTTCTCCGCATCACTGAGCCCAACACCTATTTCAATGACCTCCGAAGACTGCGCCTCCGTCACAAAGTATCTCACCTGAAGGAAGGAGTTGCCTAGGACCTAGGGTAGAGTTTTCGATTCCTCAGCCCCAAACGAATTCAATTGGATAGAGTCGGATAGAGGAAAAAGAACTAAAAAACAAAACAAAACTGTAGCCTGTCCTGCACAACTTGATACTACGTATGATAATAGACGAAATACGATGATTGTATTCAGTAAATAGACTAAAGTGGGGTCCGGAGACAAATACGGCATTCCCTGAAAAGCTGCATACTTTGCCACCAAAGATACAATGTGAAGGACGACTGGCCTCACTTCTTCCTGGCATCTCTCTGCTTCTGGCGATACGGAAAGAGCTGGATGGCATGTCTTTCAGTTCAGTCTTAGTTTGACCTGATCGACAGGTCTCTTGATCTCTTTCCTCCATGTTCGTCTCAAACAAGCAGGGGCGCAGGTGGTACTGCAGGGTGTGAGGCCTGGCCATGCACAGTGCCAGTCAGAGCTGCATGGCGCACGTGTGCGCCGCAGCCTCAACCAACGCGGCCATCACCTTTGTCACTTCCTTCTGTGTGGGCACCTCCCAGAAGGCAATGGACACGTGTTCAAAAATTGTGACGGCCAAGTTCAACAAAAGCGACCATATGTTTTGGGTGGACAAGGAGAGAGGCATGCATCAAGACTCAACAACTGGGCAGTTGCCATATTTGTGTGCTGTGCAAACGTAGGAATATGGATATGAACAATTAGCACCTTCCCCAGAAAGGCCCAGTTCCAGGCCGTGCGGGTTTTCCGAACGCTTCCTTTTAAGCTTCATTCAACGTGCTTTCAGAGTGAGTCACTGGCGAGGAGGTCAAGTGCTTTGAATGGCCGTGCAGTGATGTGCAGATGTTGATCTGTCCTTTGCATAAGGAACCACAACCACGCATCATCAATCAGTCTGGTTCCACCAATCAACTCAGAATGGCTTCCTTGACTATGTTCCGTGGGGTCTTTGTGCAAATTACTAGCTGAGAACTGCGCAAGGTACTTCTGCAAGAACCTTGGTGGACCAACAAAGGCTTGCCTTTCAGTACATACACCGCAGCCACTTCTCTCCTTTCTTGTCATTACACCTATAGGTTCAACCCAAGACACGGATAGAGATTCAGAACTTGCAATTGGTGGCGACCAATCAGCCTTGCAGAACATGAGACAATTGGTAAGGGACATTGACATACAGTAGCCCGAAAAGGACCTGCAGCTGGTATTTGTCTTCAAGAAAAGAAGCATTCTGACACCTTGCCTTGCCACCAAGTGAAGCATGAGCAAACGGAAGAGGAAGGGTTCGCCACCCTGTCCCATGACAGAAACACATATTGGAGACGGCCAAACAAACAAAGTCTGAAGTAAATTCCTGCTTTCTTCCAAGACACTGTAAAGTGGCTACAATATGATTTATACTGGGGACCAGTGACTTAGGACTTGTTAGGTCCAATGACATAGGTAGTTGCCAGGGTGGTGGCCAGTACAATCTTCATCGATGTGCAAAAACTGCCACCTTACTCATTCTTTGCAGCAACCTCTCGGACAAGGTCTGTGGATCATTCAGCAAGTCCTCAAGCAGCGTTGAGTAGGAATGAACACGCACACAGCCTTTTGGCAATGTGGTGCATCTGTACCACAAGAAACCTTCTTACTACAGAGTCAGCGTGCAGTCTGTGTAGAAATCTGTCCGCATTAATAGGTTGCAATGGTTGGGGAAAACAGTTGTTCAGCGGATAGAAATGCTCTCTGGGAAACGTTCAAGAACTGTCACACTGAGCCACATAAGTGGTCTCAAACCCTCTCAAACCCCAAGGCCGCCCCACTACTCAGCGGTTCTGAACTGGTGGCATTGATGCGAGGCAGCTTCACTCCGCATTGTTCTGAACCATGTTCAAGCACTCTTGAAGTGCGTTTGAAAGTCTCTAATTCCCCAGTTGTCCGTCACTCCAAACAAGCACACAGCCCGAGGAACCTCCAAATCTGTCCAATGCTGCCGAAGGTGAGCCGAGAAAACTTAAAAAACATAGTTTATATAATTATATATATATATAAATCGAAGCCGAGGCACAATGGCAACAAAGCTCACAACGTTGGTATTGTTTTTGCCCTTTTTGGCCTGTTCATGGAGTTCACCCAAAATGGAACTCCTGCCCCAAAACAAGAAAATCACTGTGGCGCTGGCGGCTTTCTTTGCGGCCTTGGTTGTCGCCACAGCCGTTCCGTCTCCAAGGATTCGCCCATGCTTTCGAACTCAACTTGGGTGAGGTAAAACCTAGTAGCATCCTTGTTACTAGTAGTAATTGCCTCCAACCTAATAGCGATGGCCACCGTGCGTAGCTTCTTGCTACTGAGGTAAAAGTGCAGCTGAGCAACTTTCTTGGCTCTCTTCAGCTTCCTCACACGATTTCCAGTCTTCTTAGCACCAACGATTCCAGTCACAGCCTGGGTGCAGAAATGAGGTGAGGCAATCCTTCACTGGACTAACATGAGCTGCTTGTCGTTTGTCTTCAAGTGGGGTAAAGTCCAGTAAACCAAAGCCTCGTTGATGTTATCAGCTTCATCTTCATCGTCGCTTTCATCCAAGATTCCTTCCAAGCCCTGCACACATACTTTGCGATGATTTTGCTTCACATCACGAACGAAGAAAGCGCAACGCTGATTTAGGCAACGCTGAAGACGCTTCATGGCCTTAGTCTTGTTGCCCAGAAAGAGATGAGCCAATGCCTTAGTCTTGAGTGCTCGGTCCTTTTGGTCTCCCTCCGAAGAAGCGTCACGAAGGTCTCTGTGTGGCTGGCTGCTGCAACTTTGAGATCTGGATGAAGCAAGCCGGAACCTCCAAGACAAGCTCAAGCTTTCAACTGAGCCCAAGAAAAGGAATGGGAGGATCAGGGGGGTAGTGCAATCGGGATCTTAGCCAGGTGCTCATAAGATTCACCACATGGGCATCTGACCAAACCTCAGCTGAATTGTCTGAGAGACAAATTGTTCAACAAACTGAGAAAATGATGGAAAATGAGAAGACAAGAGTCTGCGAATTCCACCTTCCTTTCATCACAGTTTCTCTCATTTCTGTGATGACAACTCAGAACCGCAGTGTTTAGAGATGTTGAGAGTTGGTCCCTGCTTCCCTTCTGTCAACAGAGTCAGTCCAGGTACTGAGAAGACTGAGGGCAGCAACATTTTGCCGGTACCTCGTCAAGAAAACCCAGAGCTTGTGCGTTCGCGGCATTCGCGGCGTCATCTGCTGCGTTCTTGCGTTCTTGTTTGCTACTTCGTCTCTTTGGTCATGTCTCAAAGTCTGACAGCACACACGGACAACGGACGGTCGCTGCCAGGCCACATGGTGATGAACACAGCGCAAGCATGTCGGCAAATCTGGGACAGCAAGGTCCCAACATCGAAGCAACAACTGAGAAAACCTATGAGAACCTGAAACATTCTGAAACATCCTGAAACAGCCTGCTCAGTGCTATAGATGTAGATACTAGATGTATCAGTGCTTGCTTCTCTGTCATTCAACTGCTTCATCCTGAACCCGCCTCGCCTCAGTGCCTGTCTCCTTCATTTGGGCAAAGAAGAAGTCTCGAAGCTCATAGTTGACCTCACAGAGGTCACGGTGGAGTTTGTCTTTGTCGTTCGTCTCTGAAGAATGGAGTGAGTGACGTCTCACGATGGATGGAGGGAGTAACGAGTGATTCAGTTGTCTCAAAAGCTCAGGAGCCCGGGCTTTCTGGTTCCTCTTTTTCTGGTTCATGTGTGCAATATCTCGCACGATGTGGTTGAAGATGGACTTTCTCAATGCTTTGTCCTTCAGGTCAAAGGAGTAGTTGACCGTGCGTTTGCAAGGAGCAAAAATCCGTGTCCAGCCTGAGAACGAAAGAGCTTGAAGTAGACCGGCAAAGTCTTGGAACATGGAAACCTCATCAGGCATGACATAGCGGCATGGCGCCGGGGAGAAAGCATACATCAAACATGCCATCCTTCATACCAGGTATATCCAGGCATCTTGCTGATCTCTGTTGCGCAGCAGGATCAATGCCTTTGGAGCCAATCAGAACGGATAGATTCCTATCATGTCCTATCCTATCGCGTTATCGCGTTTGCGTTCACCACTCCTGCACCAAGGTGGTTCGCATTGAGCTATGCATGACCTCGAAGTGGTCGCTGAGCGCCCCTGGGAGACCATCGATGGACACTGGAACTCCCAACCGTTACTTCGACCCGTAGAAAGGAAAATCGAAGTTCCCTTCGGCTCATAGGTGACGATTCGACTCTGAGGTGTGGCGCCTATGAGCAAATCAGGCAGTGCCTGAGCAAAGCAGAATCGATCTGTCATCCATGTGCCACTCCGCTACAAACTGTGTCAGAAGCTAAGAAGGATGCTTTGGCCTTGTCAGGGAAGCTCGGCGCCACGTGTGCCAAGAACATCACCTGGCATCAGGTTCCACCATCTCAGCTCGGTTGATAGCCTGTACGTTGCACAAATTGGTGCTGCATACCGCAGTGCATACCGTGGGTCTTAAGATGTCTTAAGCATCCTTAAGCATCCATAGGCGTTGGCTAAATTGGGGCGAAGCCCGCAGGGTGTGACATCGTGCGACTACACAGACCTGGCTCCGTGTATGCTGGGTGGATACGGCTCCGGCTACATCCAGCTGAAAAGGGAGTCCCACAACTCTGAGGAATGGAAGAGTGTTTCCCTGAAGATCCTGAAGAGCCTGGGGCTTGTACCAAATCTATATCATTCTCCAGTCGAAAATTCTCAGAGATTCAACATGGAATGTGATTGAGCAAAATCAGGGCAAGGGAGTCTGCCGGGCATGCCATGCCACCTGTTCACTGAACGAACTGGATGGCTTCTGAGGTTTCAATTTGAACATCTCCATCTGGCTGTCGAAGTGAGACCTGGGCGAAGGCGGCCAGAAACGCCGGAAGCATCTACCTCGCGGGACGAGCCTCAGCCTTCGACGCCCCAAACGACGCAGAACAAGTCGTTTCTCGGACGATTTCTTGGCTTGCTACCATTGCTGATCAAACTCCGGACCATAGGCCTCGTGCACAAGAGTTTCTGACAATACTAGTGGCTTCTTGCTACTAGTAATGCCCTTGTTACTAGTAGCGATGCCCTTGTTACCAGTAGCTTCTAGCTACTAGTAGCGATACACGTTGTTCCTAATTAGTAGCTTCTTGTTCCTAGTAGTAAGGCCAGGAGCCGTTCGTAGCGTCCGATCGCTCCGTTCGTAGCGATGCACTTGTTAGTGGACGCTGACTCCAAAGCACCGGACACCGAGGAACGAGTTCGGAGCAGCCGAGGAACTCCAACCACGCGACCAGTTTGTTCGTTCAAAAATCCCCATTTGCTTCATGCTTCCACAAATGGACCATTGGGCGGAACCCGCGCTCAACAGATCGTTCTGTGTCCGCAAGATTGTTTTGTTACGTTTTGTTAAAGAGCACTGGAGGGTTCTAGTAAATGTGAGTGTGTGTTATGTCAGGCATGGAAGGGTCATGGAGGTAAGTTCTCATTGAGGAGATCATGCTATCACCAAGTATCATTGTTGCAACAAGTAGCAAGTAGTCTAAACATGAAAAGGTACATCACGGTACTTCCCAAAGTTGCAGTCTCTCATCTTTGACATGACTGGTATATAGCAAACTTCGCAATGAACCCCTGGTCTACGCACATCTTGACACACCACCGTGTCCAGGTTATCCAAGTAGCTTCTGGATCTCGCTTCATGAAGTTTTGGAGCTGCGACAGCGACATGATGCGTTCCTTCTCCTTGGAGGCGAGGCGAAATGTGGAGTCGATTTGCGAACGTTGACGTTGCCAGTTTTGAGGTCGAAAACGATAGATCCCTCACCATGTAATTAGGTCAGAGGACTACTGTATAGAGAACTACTACGTTGCACTATGTTCATATTGGGGGTAGTCACCGATATCGGATTTGCAGTCACAGTCGTTACGAAACGTACATTAATTCTGTCTCCAAGAAGTTTAAAGAAATTGAAAGAGCAGCAAACAGAGGCTACTGGAGTCGCAGTCCTTCTCTTCATCTGGAGCCATCGCACTGACTGCTTGCTTGGCGCCTAGGTTGAGGTGACTTGCTAGAAACTCGAAAACTAAACACAAACCAGCAGCGGTTTAGTTGTGTGGCCTTTTGGATCGCGCTAAGACTTGTCAAGCCCATCTCATGATTCCAACGATATCTCGGCATGGTCACACCCAAACAGCCAAACCAGGCCAACCATGATGCTTCACTTCACCGACCCTGAGAAGTCTGAGCAACCGGCAAGGCTCAGCGTCTTATAGGCTCACAGAATAAATTGCAAAAGACTGTTTGACTCAATTGACACTTCTTGATGCGCTTCAAAACGTGTCAAATCTTTCTATAGACACTTGTCTTCGGTGTCTACAAACAAAGCTCCTGGTATGCTCTCTTGACGGTTTGAGTTCAACAAGGGAGCGTCAGGCTGGAGATTCATTTGATCAGGTCCAGCATCGAATATGTTTGTTATTTGCTCCATGTTGGACTATTACCGTTGCCTCCTAATCCTCCTACCGTATCCTACAGTCTGATTGGCTTGATCCATTGTGCACAATCCCGTGCATGGTCCTATGCCTTCAAATCGAATGCACCGCACTGTCCATGAGAATGCGTCTGTGTTTGCCCCATGCCCAGACTGCGGCTCTTTCACTGGCAGGAGAATGCATTGGACTCCACTGTAGAGTTCCAAGCCGGGACTCGGCAATCGTTGAGGCTCCACATAGCAATGGAACGCACAGTCTTGATCCGATGCAGACGTTGCGTCTTCATGCTCCCGGGCACTGCGGGCCCAAACGGCCGCCAGGACCTTCACCATCTTTTCAATAGCATTGGCTCCCATGGACTCAATCACAATGGGCTCCTGAGCTCACTCCATGTGTCACGTATCGTACACAAAGCCATGGAAGAAGACGCCAAAAAAGGCCAGAAACAAGTCAGAAGTCACAACGAATCATGGCCACTACTGGGGTCGGGGTTGGTCATACTCTGTCTTCTTTCACTACTGCCTGGCTTGCCTGAATGAATCTTCTGCCCTTTTTGATCTCAGTGCTGTCTAAGTGTCTTCCATTCCGAGAGCAGAAAGCCTGAAACGAGAATGCAAGAACCCACTAAGCCGCCGGAGGTCCGTGTCGGCTCTGACTCGAACCTCAGAACTCTTGCGTGTCCGTGCGGAAAAATGCTGCCAACCATCAGGTGCAGCACCTTTTGAGCGATCTTGATTAGGCAGGTTATATCTAACGCATATCATATGTTTGTTGAACACTAAGCCTCAAGCAACATCAATCATCCCAGCATCTAGTCGTTCCTTTGCTGCTGCCACGGCTTCCAAAGGAACTCGCCGCAGTTGTAGGCGCATGCAGCGACGTAAATGCGCAGCCATCTGGATTTTCAGAGGCTTGTCATTCAGGAATCAGATGGAACAAGAGCAGAAGCACTGTCACAAATCCCCACTTTGGCAATATGCTAGGGCGACTTCGGTTCGGCTGCTTTTCCGGTAGACAACAAGACACGTCTCAACTATATATACTTAAGTACTAAATAAGTAAAGACACAGCAAGACCCCTACAGTAGTGACTGCTTTCGTTGTCCAAATCTTTGGGTCCAAACAATTCTAAGTATAGCTTTTAGCTACTAGTAGTAATGCCCTTGTTACTAGTAGTAAGTAGTAATGTCTTGTTACTAGTAGCGATGCCCTTGTTACTAGTAGCGATGCCCTCGTTGCTAGTAGCCTCTAGCTGCTAGTAAGGTTTGTCCAAACATGGCACCTGACTGTCCCAGTAGACAAAGATATGGACCAAGGGCACGAAGGCTAGCCGCCATGCAACTTCCAGACGCCTGTGCTGGGCGACCGATCCGAAGAGATGAATCCCCTGTGCTGAGCTGCCAGTCCACTAACATACACCAATATTAAGTGATCATATATATGATCATATACGGTACTAATATCAGCAAGAAGATGTTGTTGGTGTCCTTTTCGAACAAGGTTCTTGATAGCAAGGAAGAGCTGATAGCGAGGCTGACAGAAAAAGTGGGCGACTACAAACCAAAGCGTTCTCATTGGCGTTCGCACTGCATGCACCAGGTCCTTGTATGTTGTATTTATGAACAGGTAACCCTCGGGAGGCCCTAACGTTGAATCCATCTCTTGGCTTTGTCCCTCTGAAATTATTTTTGTAAGTGAAGCATGTTCCTGTTTTGTGATGCCAGCAAATGCAGTGTGGAAACATGCTTGTCTAACATGCAAGTCCCTCCCTCCTCCCAAGCGCAGGTTTTTCCTAGCGATGCTGCTGGATCAGCAGTTGGGTTACTCATCGAAAGTTACCCATATTCAGTTCATACGGGTACTCACGATTGGTACAAGGTACCCAACTAACCTGGGGAACTGTTAAGTTCAGGGTGGGTGGGAAGAATCGTGGAAGGGTGCAGGTCCTTGAGCCAAAATGTCAAGGACCAGAACACCTGACCCACCCTGCCACCCAATGCGACTGCATGTTCCATACACAACACGTTGTTCCTTCTAACATGCTTGTCTAACATGCAAGTCTCTCCCTCCTCCCAAGCGCAGGTTTTTCCTAGCGATGCTGCTGGATCAGCAGTTGGGTTACTCATCGAAAGTTACCCATATTCAGTTCATACGGGTACTCACGATTGGTACAAGGTACCCAACTAACCTGCACTTAATCGTCCGAGTCTGATGATGAACTGACTCGAGGAGGGATCAACCTTTAATCGGGTGGCAAATTTCAATCATGATTAGCAAGAGCACACCAGCCTTTCAGGCGGTTGAATCCTCTCACTATAGTTAGTCGATGCAAAGGGGGGAGTATCCGCAACAGTTCCTTACGAATCGGAGGGCCACGGAGCTCCCCACGGTCAGCCGTCCGACCCCAACTATGAATTAACATTCACCCAGACCAGAAGACGACTGGGTGTCACGAACAATAAAGTTGCACCTTAACTGGTGACGGTGTTGAAGGCAATCCCGGACAACTCTCGAATTAATGTCTTCAAAAGTTCCAGTTCTTTGCCTGCCGGTTCACTCACCGAAGAAGACCTTGTAGCCAGCCCTCAAGTCAAGTTTCCAGCTCTGACCGTCAGCTCTGGTTGTCAGTGACCCTGACTTCGCGAAATGGTCTGCAAGGCTCCGCAACACGCATGGGAGCGTGTCTGTGCCTAATATCAGTGAGACGTGATCCAAGCACGTATCCGGCAGCAAGCCAGGTTGCTGTAATATGCTGCGCCAGCACTCATAAACAGTCCTCAGTGTTGCTACAACACACGCTAGTACCTGTATAGCAGTTCTTAGTGTTGTCACATCACCAGCCATCTTTCGAGCCTGTGAGGTTGAGTGATGCTGCGCAGTCGAGATCCTCAGATCTGTCACTTCCACGGCCGATGTCAGTGGAAATTCAAGGTCTGTGAGATCGAGGTCTTCAGACCTGCCACTTCCACGGTCGATGTCAGTGAAGACACCCCTGGTGAAGAGGCTAGGTGGCCGTGAGCGGCAACTCCATGGACGGATGTCAGGGCAGTTCATACAGTTGGCGACGTACGATGTATCCGATCTCACCCTCATTGCTCCCCCGAGTTCACAGCACTGGGCGCCCGCAAAGACCAAGAGGGTACGGTGCCAACTCCATCCCCATGATTCACTCATGGGGGGTAAGTCCCCTCCCCCCCAGGATCAAAAGCCTCCCAGCACAGACAGTTTTAAAATTTTATGTCCTGTTTGGAGATCATGCCATCTTTATAGAGCACCAGAGGGGTAGAGCAAGCTGCCCCTCTGCACTCTTCCCGCGGTGCGACGGGGGCTTGACCCTGGTAAAGCAGCGGATATTAAACGCGAGGAAATGTGAGGCCCTCCCCACAGGTGTGGGTGCCGAAGGACGACAAAAGGGGGGGGCGAACGAGCACGCGCGAACAAGCGGCCGAACGACGGACCCGAGGTCAGGTTCCATCCCCCCCCCACTCAAGCGACCCGCAGACTTTTGCCATCGCTCAGGTTCGCAGCCAGTTTTCGGCTTGGAATTAAACATTAGAAGTCTTTCACCCTGCACTGTGTCCGGGTGTCTGTGCAAGCTGGTGTATCTCTCCCTCCTCATGCTGCAGTTGGCTTGCCGGAGAGACGACAAGTCGGTGTGGGAGCGTCTTCCACCATCCCAGCCGACGTGGCTTGGGCAACACTGCTTTCGCACCCGAAAGTTGGATCAGCAGTTTGAACTGTTTGTTAGGATCGTTGATCCTCGACAGCGCATCACACGCCGTGTTGGTCAAGCCTGGTATGTGCGTGACCAGCCGTGGCCTGCATGTCGCCTGACCCAGATCCAAAGAAAATTCTCTTGCGATCAGGTTCAAAGCCGGAGATCCCGCTTTGAGGTTGGCAAACAGCGACAATGCACAACATTGTCGTTTCAGATCCGGAGAAACACCGGTGTGTGCTGCCAGGGAACTGCCCATTGCCTCAACGCAATGAGTCCCGTTAGCGCTTCCCACACCTGTTGTCCTTGACAATCACCCGCTTGCACACCTAGGATATCTTGCTCCGCTGACGAGAAGCGGACAGCAAAGAACTCTCTAAATTGTCCCTGGATTTGTAAAGTGGCGTCCATGCCAAATGCACTTGCGTCCCAAGTGATGACCACCACCGGTCCCAGCTTTCGAAGGCACCTTGCGTGCAACGCTGTGCACAGTCGTTGGACGAACGGCCTCCAAACGACGATGACCGATGCGATAGAATGCATTTGCCAATGATTGCGCGCAAGCACGTGACAGATACGAGGTTGTGCGTCAATGCCTCGGTCAGAAGCTGCGAGATTTCTCCCGCTTTAGCTTCAGTGACTTCAGCTACAATTGCCCCATTCAGTATCTCCAGCTGCACACCTATCCAGGTCAACTTGTGTGCCAGTGTAGCCTTGTGGAATGCCAAAGGAAAACCCATGATTTGCCATGCTGCTGCGAAGACCACCGCCCGTCTCCTGATCCTACGCTGTGCGCCCTTTGTGATCACCAAATGGTCATCCGTCTGCAGTCGAAAATCATCACTGATGCTTTGGATCCACGTGATCTCAAAGCCATGATTGCTGCCAATGTCAGAGGTGCCATACGTGATCAGCCAAAAGGCATCTACAATGCCTGCGATGAACATCGTGAATTCATGGCCCTCTGTCACATTGTCCAACAGTTCCAGTGAGGAGCTAACTGCATCTGTGGTCCTCGGCAAGACACTCTTGTGCGTTCTCACGGACGTGAGTGAAACTCCACTGCGCTTGCAATCTAGGATGATGCGACACTTGCTGATGTACTGCCCTGTGTCCAGGTTGTACTTCAGTTTCTCTAAGCGCGCTAGCCTTGACGAGACAGGTTCGTCTCCCACCACCCTCACGAGTTCTTCGATGCTGTCATATCTTGACAGATAGCCCTTCTGGCGGTGGCTCTCGAGTGTTTCCAATGCCTCTTCATCGTCTTCGACCCCCACATAGTTGTGGGAGCTGTCAAAGTCTGTAGCCAGGCTGTGAATGTCAAGCTGTTCCGTGTCAGCGTCAACCACAGGAAAGACCCCGTCCAGGCTCTCTGAATGCATAGTGAGCCCTGCCGGCGCCCCACGATACAGCCAGGTGACCACTCCTGATGCTGGGTCCCCCACTACTCGTGCCCAGGCTTCCCACAGATATGCACGAATGACTGTGGCACAGCCGTTATCACTGACCGTGTCAATTGAGAGGTCTGTTGGCAGTCTACCAGATGAGTTTCTGATCAACATCTCTTTGATGTCCCGTCTCATCAAAGATATTGCTTGTTCTGGAACGATCACATCCTCTTGGCTCTGATGGTGTGCTAGGTTGTGCCAGAGCTGATCTTCTGCTCCTTCGTCGTCATCGAGGTGCCTCCCAATGATGTTGCACACTTGCACTCCAATGCACTCCATCCTGTCTGTGATCCAGTGAGGAACGTTCCTCAAGCTATCTCTCTCATCATCTGGTTTCCCGATCTGTTCAGCTTGCTGCGACAATTTTATCGCTTTCTGCGGCTTCGGGTCCCAGTCAGTGATGGTTGCTGTTCGTTTGTTGTCCAAACGATCTGTTGTGCCCTGCTTGCTTCTCACTCGTATGATTGCAGTTGCAAGTGCAGTGGCCAATGCTCTGTTGAGTTCATCCGGGTACGCAGCTGCCTGTCTTGTCAGACATTCCCTTTTTTTGGCTCTCTTGACCGTAGCATCGAGGGCCTCCACTGATCTGCCTGGATTGCCCTCTGCTTGTCTTTAAGTGGAGGGTGCGTAGCGAAGATCCACCTTCCGCCCCAAGGGACCCTCCACCACTGTTTCGGGTGATTGCACAAAATAGTAAACTCGGTCAGGCCTTCAATGTCGCTCAACAAATCTGTCAGCTTCCCAGAAGGTGCCCCGAACCTGCACTGTGCAGATGTATATCTGAACACTCCTTCTGTTGCTATCAAGTCTTTGTATTCATCCAGCTTGAACATCGAAGTCTTCTCCTCTCTCTCATGAGGTTGCTCAAGCAGCCACGGCTTGCCTCTCCTGCGTGCATGAGATGCCGTAGGGTGACCCCGAAGTGCCAGAATGTTGCCTTCTCTGGCTTTCTGCATGTCTTCAGCCGTCAAACTTGTGGGTCCGTAGACCTCTGGACCCTCTGTCGACTTTAACGGCTGCGGTCCTCCCTGGCCTTGCCTTGCAGGCAAAAGGGTGCTGCAAGGCGGTGAAACCATGTAGCCATCGTACATAGGCAAATTCAATTCAATCTTCTCCCAGATGTCCTGATCCAGGAGGTCATGCAACTCATTGATCTCTCTGTCCACATAGGCTGCCTCCCTTGCATGGTCCTCGAGATGTTTCCCCCGACCGTCAGAAGGCCTGTGTGGTCCACTATAAAGGTGTAGCACTCTGCCATTAATCTGCCGGGGTTCTGTATCCGACACATCAACGACCGAATTCTGTATCAGGCCATGCTTGCTGGTGTCCTCCAACTTCAGGCCCTCATGCAATGCGGAAGTCGTCTGTCAGTAAGGTGGCCTTTTGCCACCTTCACCTTTCCTGCCTCCGCCTTTCTTGCCTTTCCCTTTTGCCGCTCTCTTGAGGAAACCAGGTTCAGGCATCTCTGCATGTGGGCACTTCGAAGCTGCGTGGGATCCCAAGCAACGTTCACACTGGTGCACTGAATCCCACGAGTGTTGACACCAAATGCCCTGTGTCACATCCGTGCACGTGCCTTTGTTGAAGTCCGCGCACAAGCTGTAGCCCGTCCTGTTTGTCAGGTATTTGCCATCGGCTACATTGTTGAATCGGCCTGTTCGACTCGCCTTGCGGGTTCTCCACTCTGGTGCTGCTGGAGGTTGCTCTGTTGACGCCGCCGAGGCAGTGTTTGCAGCTGATGCCATCCTCCACGGTGCCGGGGTTGTCTCCCGTGGATGCGGCCCTGGCTGCGATGTCGTTGCATCTCCTTCAACCGCCTCGGCTGCGTTTGTGATTCTAGTCAGGATTAAGAAGGCGGTCTCTACCACTTCCTCTCGCCAGAACTCGAGGTCCTCGATCGCTTTCCCCCAGACATAGCTCCATGGTCTTGCTGGATCATAGCCCACTGGCGTGGGGTTGCCTGAGGCTTTGGTCTGGTCGAACTCCGCCTGGGCGATCCTCCTGATCCTGGGCATGTGTTCCAATCTGCATCTCACTTCACCCTGGTATATGACACTCCATACCTTCTCACCATACTTGTCATGTAGACGTTCAATGAACGACTTGTATCGCAGGAGATGTCCAAGGTCTACCGCATCCAGCATCACTAAGACATTTTGCAATACCATATACGATGCAATCCAGTGAGATATGTTTGCAGGTCCATGGAACTCCTGACTCTTCACAGTTCCGTCACGCCCCAAGGTCACGCCCGACAGTTTGACCTTCTTCATGATGCGCATGCCGTAGGGCCCGAAGATCGCAAAATCAGCGTACGGCACGCTGCCTTGATCCAACAAATGTCGAATGGCAGTTATCTGTTCTGTCGTTGGCTCACACTCTCCTTGGGAGGACGTTCACCTTTCCCGTAGACGGCTTCGTACCTTGCGAAGGCCTTCAAGATCTCCTTTCCGTCGTCCAACAGAATTTCTGTGTCGTCAATCTGAGAGATGACACTGCTGAGTTTTACTCTTCTCCCAGCTGCCAAGGAGCTCGGACTCATTGCTGGCCCAGCTGGTGCTGATGCAGCTGAAGCCTTCTTCTTGAGATCTTCAATGGTGTCACCTTTGCCTGCGATGACCCGGCAGACATGGCCAATCAGCCTGGCTTGCCCAATCTCTGTCAAGGTGGGAAGCCTTGCAGTGCCCCCATCAGCCGGAACCTTCCAGCCTTTCACTGCGGCTTCGTAGTCTGCTTCCGACATGATGCCTAAGGCTGCCGGCTTCGTGTCCGCTTTGGCGCCCAAGAGCGAGGCTAGGGATCCAGAGACTGTCTTATCATCCGTCAGTTGCGCCTCATTCATGCCGACGAAAGCGAAGACATCTCGCACTCCAAGCATCTTCTTGCGTTCCTCCTCAGTGGGCTCCATGTATGGAGATTTCAAAGCCCGAGGGCAACTTGATGCTCGGCCTCTTGGATCCCAACCAGGCGCACACTCTCTGTACGCAGTAGCAGCAGGTGGTGATCAACACCACAAGAATGGTGATGACCAATCCAAGCAAATGGCTGGATCCCGCTGCTACCCGTTCGATGCCCCCCACCGGCTGCAATGTGAGTGTGCCGGTGGGTGCCACGTACATGCACCCCCTTCCACCACCAATGACCGTGTCGGTGCGAATCGTGGAAGGGTGCAGGTCCTTGAGCCAAAATGTCAAGGACCAGAACACCTGACCCACCCTGCCACCCAATGCGACTGCATGTTCCATACACAACACGTTGTTCCTTCTGACAAAAGATTGGACTTACTGCAACCATTTCCCCACTGCCTTGTTTCATGCTTTATGAATCATACCTCAAGGACTCAAGGATCCTCAAGGCCCCCTTTGCTTCACCACTGCCCCTTTGCTTCACACCTGCCTGTTGCACACAGCCAAGGCATTCATCGCTGAGCTCAAAGGACCACGTCCTATGACCTCGAAGATGAGCTCGACGGATTCGGCAGAGTCCAAGCTCTGCAGGCTCGGCGAAGCCGCCTGGCACAGCAAAGCTCCTGTCGCTGCGCCAGCTAGGTGATCGTGCAAGGCAACGGCAAGCGCAGCAGGCTACTGAGCCGACTAAAGCAGAATTGTGAGCCTTGCTACCAAACAGAATTGCGCCAGCTTAGCTTTAAATTGTGTGGCTTGAAAATCGCATCGTTCGCCTACCAGGCATAGAAAATAGGCAATTATACAATGTTTGAGGCGCATTGGTATCTGAACAAGCACCAGCAAGCAAGCATCCATTGATGCAACAAGGATTCATCAATGTTTGCACTGGTTGCCCCTTTAGGTGTTACCATCAACCCCGCTTTAAACATATGGGCGAGCGATGGACACCATACCAGTGCAAACGTAATCAACCGTACAACCTTTGCGTGCGAAAAAGGATAGGCAACCTGAAGAGTAGATATGAATATGGGTTATCTTAGACGGACCCCCTTAAAAACCCCCTCAGGATAGAAAGTTTAAGATATTCCATATACATATTATAAATGGCAGAGCTAGTGAGGTTCCATGGTTTCTGGAGCGCCTACGCGTTTCTCCTGGCATGCCTAGCCATTTTCTCAAGATCTTGAGCATGAGGATTTCTTATGCATGTGCCACACAAAAAGCAGCCAGCATTGTGACCAAAGCCTTGATATCGCCAATCAAAAATGCCATGGAAATGTGAGCGTGCTTGGTGTGCAAATATTGCAGTGTTCAATGCATGTAGATGCACATGAACACGTTTTGCCATACGTCACACATTACAGAATTTATAGCTTGTTCTGAAGATCATACAGCAACACTTTTGAGAAACTCTTGACCATGAATCAACTTGAGAGAAGTGGTGGAAACAGGCAAACCACAAAGTTCAGCTCTATATATAACTTTTATATGATGATGTTTCTTGCTGTGTTTTCCACACCAATGGAACTCTCCCAGCTCCATCTCCATCTCTCCTGCCAGGTCCACAGCTCTCGTCTCCCCAAGTCGAAACACCTCCTTGGAGCTGATCACCAGTGCGGGTGCTTCCGCCGCTTCGCCGCGGCTTCGCCGTGCTTCCACCGCATGGGAACTCGCGCTGAGGCTGGCCCGATGGTCGGTCTGCCGTAGGACATGGAGACCTGTAGAGTGCTGGACTGGTCCAGATGCGAGCGGGTTCAGATGCAAAGCATCGGAAAGACAGGACTCTCTCCTTTGAATGGGGAAGACATGGGAAGAATCGACCAGAATCGACCTGGTCTACACGCCATGAGTTCAGCCCCCACCCGTTCAGGGCCTCGCAGACGCAGTAGACTCGCAAAGGTGGGCACATGCCTTTCGGAAGAAGCAACCGTGGTGACCGTGTCACCTCCGACTGTCACCGCACATCCGAGTGACTGTAGTCACATCACCTCTCTCTCTCTCTCTCTCTCTGCATGATACAAGAACCACAAAAAGAATAAATAGAGCTGTTCAGAAGTGACAAGGCCAATGTTATCCGAACATATTTCGATCTTGTTCAGCAAGCTGGGCAAATGCTGGCTGACATGTGCAACTTGTCTTGACATGTCTTGAACCCAAAGCACCTGCACCACACTTGCTGTGCTAGTTGAGCACCAGAGTGCATCAGCTTCGGCGTCGCTCTGCTGTTAAAAGTCTCTGCTTAGTGATTTAGTCGTGACCAGTCACTGGGGTGGGGAACTAGTGGGTCTTGAAATCCTCGGCTCACCAGGTGTTCTCGGCTGACCAGGTGTTCCAATGGAAGAACTCAAAGCATTGTTTGTTTTTTGTTGGTCAACCGGTCAACCTCATCAGTGGATGATCCTCTTGGCTTAAGACCACCCAAGGAACTGGATGACTCCCTCCCCACGGTCAAGTACTGATCCGCTTTGCGAAGGGATGACAATTGACAAGCAAATACCAGCATCAAAAAAGCCTTCATGCTAGTTTGGGCAAGCGTATCACTTCAGAAGTGCCTTCTGTATCTAGCTTCTCCCTCACACCCTTAAGAACCACGCTTGGTTTCACATTCTTGTATGCTGTTGTGAAGTCTTATGTAGCATCATTGTAGCTTTTTCAGAACTCTCAGCCTTGAAGTCAGATGCAAAGGAAACAAATCATCTCAGCAATGCACTTGACTCATGCCAAAACAACCTTTATTCGACTAAAAGACCAGCAGGGCAGCCAACAAATCTTTTGAATGACTGGCGCAAGGTCGGTCTTTTCCTGTAAGTCATTGGGCCATCATCCACTGCCAACAAGGCTCTCCAGTAAACCAATTACCTCAATAAATGTCGTTTGAAGGGCAAGCCAAGCCATTGTTGACGGTGGGGTCGATTTCATTTACACTTTGCTGTGTCTCTGCACAGATGCCAAATGGCGTGCAGCCGTCGAAAAGTCTAAGACTCAACGTTGCTCTTGTCTCGACAACAACTCGCCAAACACAAACACACTAAAACAAAAGGCAAACGATGATGGGAAATGCTTTGCTAGATCATAACCTCAAAGCCCAATCAGCTTCGCAAGCTAGATCCCGATTTTCGCTTCACTAAACGCCCCAGAGAAGCAGCAATGGCCGTTGCATCGTCCTGTGCGATCGCGTCGGGGAACCACGGAGGTCCGGATTCAGGTGACTTCGTCTGAACCAAACAATCACTCAAACACAGCATAAGAGAAAATTTGGAAGAATGGAAGATTGATGAATTTGGGAAGAATATGGAAGTAAAGAATGAACTCAAATTAGTGCCAGGCTAGTAGTAAAGTGCCACGCTAGTAGTAACAAGTGCCTTACTAGTAGTAAAGAGTAAAATAAGGAATGAACAAGTTTTCTCTTTTTACTTTGATGTCTTGTCGTTCCTGGTGAATCTGGGGCGCCGGCGACGGTGCCATTTGACGAGTTGTTTTTCCAGAGCTCCATAGACTCGTGGACAACCTGCATGTCATGAGTCGGTTTGGCTTGGGGTTCAGGTTCCAGTCTACTAGTAACAAGTGCATCACTACTAGTAACAAGTGCCTTACTAGTAGTAACAAGGTTTGCTATTAGAAACAAAATAGAATTAAGTTTAAATTGTTACTACTAGTAAGGCACTTGTTACTAGAAGCGATGCACTTGTCACTAGAAGCGATGAACAAGATGGCACAAGATAGGACAAGAATCTTCGATATCAGGTCGGATCTCATCTCCGGCCTCTTCGAGGGCTCTGTCTGTGACACCATGCTTCAGCAAATGCCCAGCGACCGTACGGTCTGGCATCGGCTGGCTTCAAGATGTGGTGCTCCGAATTCCGCGAATCGTTCTCGGCGCATGCGAAAACATGACATCACATGACATGACTCTACCTGACTGGTCATATGACATGTGATGGAAAAAAAAGACTGGTCTTCAAACCATTTATGGAAGTTCATGGCATGGCCCTGAAAGGATGACCATGTTCCCAATACCAAACAGCTGGTGAACTCCACTTAATAAATCGGCGCTGAAACGAACAGGTCAGCACCACTCCCACAGAATTCGAAAAGACCATCGGTACCTGCAGGGCAGGCAAGGATTCTGTTTCATGTTCATTGTACATCCTGAGTCCCATCACAAATGTCATGTCTGTCTATCTGTCGACAAAAGATGATCCACAAAACAAGCATTTTTGAGCATGCGCCTGACCAGTCCCCTGTTCATCCATGTTCATCCCTGTTGCTGTTCCCTTTCAGTCAGCTACGTTCGAATATTAAATAACATCGTATGAAATCTTCAGACTGCCATGCTTCCCCGTGCTTCGCCTAGGATCAACAGTGCTTCTGCTTCACCCGGCAGGTGCTGGGAAGACACCTCACCGCCAGGCCGTCCGTTCATACCCTCAACATCCCTCACTGGAGGCACTCCCGTTTGGTCCCTAGTGGTCAAAGTTTTCATATTCCATCATGTTCTTGCTAGAAGATATCTCAGAAGGTCAGCCAGGCCGCTCGCCGCTCGTCTTTTGCTTCACGTCGAAAGGAAAACGCTTCGTTTCGATCCCACGCTTTGCTTCACCCGCTTCGCGGCGAAGCAAACCGCCTGGGGCTCGGCGATGATGCCGCACTCTTGTCCGATCGACAGGCCAAGAGATCGCGTCAACCTGGCCGAGGCGAGCCATCGAAACTCGGTGACCAGGGCAAGGCGGGCGGGATGGTCGAACGCCGAGTCAAACGGTGTATTTTGGTAGATTTGGTAGGGAGATCCCGGAGATCCCCAACCAAGGGGCTTTGGTCTATTTTCCTTCTTGGGAGGTCTTAGAATTTCATACACACCCATCATTGCTTCATGGTGCTTCGACTGCAAGCCACGAGATCCACAGGTCAGTGCTGCGCAAAGCCAGGATGCCCTGGGACGGAGTCGCAAATCACTCGAGCCTTGATTTTGCGCCAGGATTTGAGCAGCATTTGTTCATCTAACTTGGATGTCTCAAAATCAGGAGACCCATGGAGACCCCGAACCATCGTTTTGATCTACTTGTTCATACTTGGTCTAGTAGTAAGGCCAGGAGCCCCTAGTGGGTCTAGTAGCTTCTTCACACTCACCTGTCACCTGTTGGAGACACTATGATGTTCTATGTCCAGCACTGAAGTTTCAAGGTCTCCCTCCTATCCCGCTGGGAAGTCTGATGGTCACTTGGATCCCGACCCGCTTTCCACCAGCCAAACGTATGTGGCCTCCTGCATCCTTCACCCGCTGTGCCTGTCAATGTCCCTTGATGAGTGTATGGTTCCAAAAAGCCGGCCACAAGCTGGAAACCAAGACAAAAAAAAAAAAGCCATTCTCACCCAGCCACAGGGTGAGCCACATGTGGCTCACAACCACCAGCAACGATATTGAATAATCCAATTTCCCACCTCAGTTTCATCGTCTGGTCTGTGGTCTTTCGTCAGCTCTTTGACCTGAGCTTTTGCGCAAAGTGCACTCCGCGTTCGGCCGCGTTCGGCCCGGCACTGGGGACGCGTTCGGTGCGTTCGGTGTGGCTTAGCCGGTGACAATGAAACATTTGCCGCCATTGGCACCATCTGCCAACCTTGCCTCAGCAAATGTTGTCCAAAGATGCAGGACATTTCAAAAAGAATGGAGAGAGATCTGAAGTGTAGCTGGAATACTACGGCGGCCCTCAACCATGGATCCCAAGCCCCGCACAAGTATTGCCCGTGAGTCACCGACATGAGCAGTGTGAACCTGGCAGCCATGGTGTTGAAAGCGACTCTGAACTTCCACGATGGCAAACCAACATATGCAGCAACACTTGGGCCCAAACACATGAAACCAAAAGCCTTACAGTGCCTTACAGTGATATGTTCTAATTTACTAGGATGCTCATCCTCATCAAACAAACCCGAACAAACCATACAAAGAAACTGGGGCCACGGCTGTGATAGTCGGTTCTGCAGTTGGCCTGAGCGAAACACGCCAACTGCAAACGCGCAAGGCGAAGCACTTGGGGTCTTGTTTGCGTGGCTGAGGAGCGAGCCACTTGCGTTCGATACCAGATACACCTTCATAGTCAAATCTCTGACAGCCAAACACTGCTTGGAGGATGCAAAGATGAACGCTGGATGTTGCTGGAGCGCCTTGCTCTAAGACAACGGAGACCGTGGCTGTGGTTCCGCTACTAAAAGACTCGGTTGGCTCCAGCCTGCAAAACCAGGTACTCTGTTGGGATAAAGCTTCTTTATGATCTTTATGGTTCATCCCATGCATGGCTGAACGCAAAGAAGACCAAAGGAGGTTCTCAGGTGCATCCCAATGCATGGAGCAAGTTGTTTCATCTTCAACTGCACAGAACTAGCTCATGCAGTCACATCAGTCACTCTCAACATGGGCAACGGCTGCGGCCTTAGCATTTCACTCTGCGCTTCACGGAAGGCTGCTTTGAGCACCTGCCGTGCCGTGCACCAGTACGGCTGCTTCGGAGGGTTCGGTTTGAAGCTCCGTCTTCACCACTTCACCGCTTTGAGCGTCCACGTTTCGGCTTGAACGACACACAGATCTAACTGATCTAACAGATACACAGCTTGAACGACATCGACACTGACATGTGACATGATTGTGTCGCTCAAATCTTTGTGCATGTCTGCTTAACTACGATTCCTTGATTCACCACCGCTAGAAGTTGCCAGTTCAGTTCAATTGACTTTCCAAGAACTGTGGGCACCTGCACTTCTGCGACTTGTGTATTTCTGAGTTTCTGTTGTGTGCTGCAACAGCATTCTGCTCTTGTCTATGTGTTCTGTGTATATACTAAAACATTCCTATTCAATCCTATTCATGTGTGAGAACAACGCGATCCAAATACACCTCCTGCGGATGGCTGAGCAGGTCTGGATCACCAAAGATTCGCTCAGGGAGAAAGCCTGCACAATCGCGATGCGCAGCGCATGTGCGGAAAAACCTGTGGCTGGAAATGTAGGGAAAACACCTGAAGCGAAAACCCATCAGCAGCAAGTACTCTATTTCACGTGTTTCAGGATGTTTCAAGATCATGTGCCAAAGCTGTGCAGGTTCCGGTCAGCGCCCGCCTCGCGCCAGAGCAGCGCATCTGTGACCCGCGGGTCCATGGCCATCAAACACGCCATAGAGGGCAACACGACCTGCGATTTCTACGTTCACACGAGAAGAAGGCTGCCAAAAGAAGCAAACATCAAGCTGTGGCTTGGTTTTGAATAGACAAAAGGTGCATCTTGGCTTTCACGGCACGTCCATGAAGTCCATTCAAAAAGGAATCTTAAAAAAATTGACAAAAAGGCCAGGGGAGAGAGGGAAAAAAGGTTCTGCGCCCTTGAACAAAGTGTGCCTACTAGTACTAATGTGCGTATATTAAAGGAACCCAAAGACCTTCTTGTTGATTCCTCTCGGGATCTAACCGCATTTGCGTGACCACCAGACAAGAAACAACAAGCTCACATCACAAACATCAAAGCCGCAGCCCGTGCGCCACAAGACCCTGTGGAAACCAGTGGGGCCTGTAGCGGACCTAGCGCATTCATCCACCAGGCAAAAGCTCTCAACCCGAGTGCGGCCCCCCAAAAAATGTTAAAAACGTTACTTCAAAGACGTTTTCTAAACTCAAATTATAGCAGTATGAAAACTCAAAAATTACTCACAAAAAATCACAACAGACTACCACATATAACCTCATTCATTGTTCAAAATCATAACTACTAACCATTTGGTACCTCATTCATTGTTCAAAACCATTACAATGAATACATACCTATCTCATTCATTCCACAAAATCATCACTACTAACCATCTATTGCCTCATTCATTTCTCAAAAATCATAGCTACTAACCATCTATTACCTCATCCCTTTTTTTGAAATCATAACAGTCAATACATCATCACCTCATCCATTCCATACTCAACCAAGCAACAAACAAAAAACAAACCAAGCAAAGAACAACATTAAAAAAAACAAAAACAAAACAATAGACAACAATATAGCATAACCCCTCACCTTTAATAATCCAATCTTCAAATCCATAATTCTAATACAGTAGGTGTCATTAGAAATATGTTAGTAGTAAATGTCTTCAATAACTGTTAACTTAAAATTACACCAGCATAGGCCCAGATAGCTAGGCAGAATCCCACGACCTGTTGACATGCGACTGGCTGGAACAAGAATGTACGCAGCCTGCGCAGCCAGCTTACGACACCTCGCACAATCAGCTGACACCAGCACCAGACCAGCGCCGCCGCCCGTCTTAAACGCGCGCTCAGCCAGCTCACAGCACCAGCACCCATGGACCACAACACCAGCACCAGCACCGACACCCTTTTGAAAGCGCGCGCAGCCAGCCCATTCTGATTTGCAGCAAGAACCCCATAGCTATCCCTACTTGGGGAATAACAACGTTTGATCTTGCGCGTATAAGTTTATGCGCGCAAAAGTATGCGCGCAATCGGCAAAGCCCGTAGGCTTCACTCGCCCAAGGCCAAGCAGTATCCAGCACGACTATTTTGTGTATGCGTAGCATGCTGACACATGCTGGTACAATGGTCGGTTGAGAGCCTGGCGCATAGAACATTATACGTACAAAAGTATGCGCGCAAACAGTACAGCCCTTGACACAGCTGTCGGCCAAAACACAACCTGAAGGGTGTAAATACCCCACAGCGCTAATAGACAAAGTATGCTCAAGCGACAACACCGTATGATGTTGCGCGCGTAAGTTCATGCGGCCCATGACTGCTTGCACTTCATTGTCAGAAGCGGCGCTTGGTCGCCCTTCACTGCTGCAAGCGGCGGTTTGTTACCCTTCACTGTCAGAAGCAGCGGTTGTTATCACTTCACTGTCAGAAGCGGGCGCCAGCACCGAGCACCGGCGCGCCAGCTTAAGGCGCCCAGCACCAGTGTATAGCACCAAGCACCAGCACCCGGCACCCTGTCTCCACCACGCGCACAGCCAGCACCCAGCAACAGCGCCCAGTCTCCACCACGCACACTGCCAGCTCACAGCACCGGCACCAGCGCCCGCTGTCTCTACCATGCGCACTGCCAGCACCCAGCACCGGCACCGTGTCTCCACCACGCACGCAGCCAGCTCACAGCACCCAGCACCAGCACCACAGCCCGCACCAGCACCCGGCACCGGCGCCCAGCACCGGCACCCTGTTTCCACCGCCCACCAGCACCGGCAACCTGTCTCGAAAGCGCGCGCAGGCAGCTCATTGTTACTTGAAGTAAGAACCCCATATTAGCTTCGCTATCTGGACAAAAAAGATCGCCACATATATGCAAGCTACACCACCAGCGCCAGCACCGGCACCCAGCACCAGCACCAGCGCGGGCACCCGGCACCAGCACCAGCAACCTGTCTCCACCATGACGTGCACAGCCAGCTCGGCACCCGGCGCCCAGCGCCAGCACCGGCACCCGACACCAGCACCAGCAACCTGTCTCCACCACGTGCACAGCCAGCTCACACCGACACCCAGCAGCAACCTGTCTCCACCACGCGCACAGCACCGGCACCCAGCACCCAGCACCAGCACCACCGCCCCGCACCAGCACCAGCAACCTGTCTCCGCCACGTGCACAGCACCAGCACCAGCACCGGCACCGGCACCCGGCACCAGCACCAGCAACCTGTCTCCACCACGCGCACACCCAGCTCACAGCACCAGCACCAGCACCGGCACCCGGCACCCAGCACCAGCACCGGCACCAGCACCAGCAACCTGTCTCCACCACGCGCGCAGCCAACTCACAGCACCAGCACCAACCAGCACCCGGCAGCCAGCGCACCAGCGGCACCCAGCACCAGCACCCGCACCAGCAACCTGTCTCCACCACGTACGTGCACAGCCAGCTCAGCACCAGCACCAGCACCGGCGCCCAGCACCAGCAACCTGTCTCGAAAGCACCGAGGGGGAACTCAGTATTATTTGAAGTAAGAACCCCATAGCTTCGCTATCTGGGGAACTAAAGGCTTGTATTCTATTGTACTATCTTTATCTTGGTCTTGCTTCAATAGCGGTTTTTATTTCTTCAACTGCTTTATGTAGTACTTCATCTATATTATCTTCATCTACATATTCATCAAAGTCATTCATAAAGTAAATCTCTTATAGCTACATTCATTTTTCCCAAATTCCTTTTCTGGGAGTTTTGCCACCAATTGAACTTCAATATCAAGTTTGACTCTACAATCTAAATCATCTTCTACTTCTTCATAAATCAAAGATAGTAATTCTTCTTGTTCTTCTGTTATTATGTCTTCTATACTTTTCAAACTAAATGACACCCCCTCTCTCATAATACAGAAATCAATTTTGTAGATATTTTCCTTGATTTCTAATGTCTTGTCATTTTAGAACCAAGTCTTGAAATCTTATCTTTGTTTTGTAGTCTCTTCAATGCTACTATGCTTAATTTCACATATTCAGGTTCCCCATGAGTATATGATACAATATTACCCAACACATTTACTGGCAAATCCTTCATACGATCCATCCACTAATATACTTAACTGCCTAATCTTTAAGCGCATACTCCAAGGTTAATATAAGGCATTCTTGAAAAAACTACTTAAAGATAGATTAAGTAAATAAAATACATAATGTTATAAAAACATGTTTAAGCTTAAAACATTAAGGGATGCAATATGATCCAAATTCACTGTGTTTATTTTTTGGTATGGTGTGTCAAGTTTCAACCTCCAAATGAACAAGCCATGGCGATTCAGCATCTGACCAAGGCTATATTATAATTTAAAAAGTTATAGACTATCTGTTGAGTAATGATTTAGCAGAAATACAAAAAAAGATGTAGAAAAGAATTAAAGTCCATAATCATAGATGAAAAGAAATTCAGATACAACAAAGACAAACGCATATCAAATGTTTTAACAAAAGAAATTGTTATCAGTAAAGAAAACTAATGGGTACAGAAGTTATGCTTTAAACAAGGCAAAGGGTGCTTTCAATGAAGGAAGAGCAAGACAAATACTGACCAAACACGCAATCAGACACAAATTTAGGATCAGAGATGTTCAATCAGCATTTAGAGAATATGCTAACTCAATAGCTTTAGAAAATAAACACGTTGAAGGAGAAACAGGTTTAGAAATCATTGCGCACCAAAAACAAAGACTATGAGAGCCTTTAAGAAATAATAGAAGCATGAAACTTAACATAAGAACAGAAGGATTATGTGAATATGATGATGGAGGAAATGAAACTGGTAGTCAAGAACTTGTATATGCTTTACCATCAACATATTGTTCACTTCATAATGAGGATGAGCTGACACAAGCATTAGAAGATCGTGTTAAACAGTTAAACAAATCTTAGTACACATACAAAATATTGAAGCATCAACCTCGATTTTAAGGTTTCAAAAGATAATATCAGACACCGTTCACTATGACAAATTTGACCCAACAAGAGCAGGCAGTTTTATAGAATTACCAGAATGGATTTAGTTAAAAAAGGCATGTATCAACATTAAAACCAAAGACCAAAAATGCTTCAAATGTTGTACTCAATCCATAGTCTTTGACAAAATACGCAAACATCACCCAGAGGAAATGTTCCACTATAACAAATTGAATGATGACATTTTGAACAGGGATGGTGTAGACTTTCCATCATAGACAGATTTGAAGAAAACAACAAATTAGTTTCAATAAATGTTTTTGAAACTGATGGCTGCTTTAATGATAATAGGATTATCATACATAGATGCACTAAAAAAGAAATGCTAAATATGAAACTGATTTATTAAAAGTCTATGATGAAGATGATAACTGTCAGTATGTATTAGTGAAAAACAAAAGTAGGTTACTTAACTGCAAAAGCAAAAAACAAAAAGAAACACTACCGCCATCATTGCTTAAACCCTTTCTCATCAGAAAAGGCACAGAGGACCATCTTGAAAAGGGATGTATGGCATCAGGAGGACAACAAACAAAGATGCCTGATAAAGACACTTACATAGAATTTGAAAAGCGTAATACTAAATTGCCTTGTCCTCTTGTAGTCTATGGTGATTTTGACTGTCTAACCACTAACTCCAACAATGGTGTAAAAGGCACATATCAGGAACATAAACCGTGTGGTCGTATGTTGAATGTAGTGAGCAGGATTGGTAATACACACCAACCATACTTATACAGAGGTGAGGATTGTATGAAGCATTTTGTTGAAAAACTGATTGAACTTAAGAAAGATATAATTGAAAAAATGAATCTAAATAAATCAATGGATGAACTAACTTACGAACAAAAGACAGAATTTAGGCAAGCGACCCACTGCTCCATATGCAATAAGGAATTCCAACCTGACGATGAGAAAGTCCGCGACCACTGCCACTTCACAGGTAAATACAGAGGCGCAGCGCATGTAAAATGTAATCTGGATTATTCATTTAGATGCTTTAAAATCCCTATCTTCTTTCATAATCTTAAAAGCTATGACGCGCACTTGATCATTGCCAGGGCAAATGAACTAAACATAGAACTAAACCCAAACAAAAGAATAGATGTAATAGCACAAAACAGTGAAAAGTGCATAACCTTTTCATTTGGCGCTTGTCAGTTTAAAGTTCTCAACTGCAGATTAAACAAATATGAAGGAAATCAAAAGATTAAAGATTGGAAACTCGTTTCAGATATACAAGCGCCAACTCATATATCAAATCTAAAACTGATTTGAATTTGCTGGCTGATAAGGGTGTATATCCATACGACTATATGAACTCATGGGATAGATTTAATTTAAAAAACTACCAAAGAAAGAAGATTCTTACAGCAAATTTTATGAAGAAAACATAACTGACAAAGACTACACCAGAGCAAATATTGTATGGAAACATTTTAACATTTAAAGAACTTGGTGAATATCATGATTTGTATTTGATGACTGATGTAAATTTTCTGACTGAGGTTTGAAATTTTAGGGATATGTGTTTGAACTATTATGGGTTAGACCCAGCGTATTATATCACTTTACCTAACTATTCTTGGAATGCCTCTTATCATTGACAGGAGGTTTACTACAACAAATACACATAAAAGAAATGTATGAGATGATTGAACATGGATTAAGAGGAGGAATGGCACAGTGCTCCTTTAAGAAAGTAGAAGCAAACAATAAATACATGAATGAAGATTATGATAAATCTAAACCTTCATTATACATAAGTTTTTTAGACGCTAATAACCTTTATGGATTAGCAATGTGTAAGAAACCGCCATGTGGTGATTTTGAATGGTATTACGGTAGAATGGATGAAAAGAGAGTAATGACATATAGTAATGATGATGGCGTAGGATACATATTAGAAGTTGGTTTAGATTATCCAAAAGAAGTACATGATTTACATGAAGACTATCCATTAGCACCTGAAATCATGAGTATCAATGAGAATATGCTCTCAAAAATCCAGAAGGATATACATAAATATTATTATGGAAAAGATGTCAGTCTGTGATGAAAACACAAATAAGTTTGTATTAAATGTAATGGATAAAAAGAAGTATGTTTTACACACATCAGCATTGAAATTCTATCTGCAACACGGAATACGTCTTAAAAGTCCATAGAGCAATAAGTTTCAAACAAGCACACTTCTTAAAACCATTCATTGAACTCAACACTGAAAAGAGAAAGAATGCCAACAATGACTTTGAAAAAGATTTGTTTAAGTTAATGAATAATAGCCTATACGGCAAGACCATGGAGAATGTAAGAAAGCATGGTGATTTTGAAATTGTCAATACGCCTGAACGCTTCCAAAAACTGGTAAATAAACCGCTATTCAAACACAGACATATCATAAATGAAGACCTTGTAGTTGTTGAAAAAGAAAATCACACAGTGGAACTAAACAATATGGGTATGTCTATTTTAGACTTTGGCCTTCCAGCACGGCGGACTGAAGCGCCGAATTTTTTGCGTAGCCATGACAAAGTATCATCGAGGCCTGCTTCCACAACTTGAGAGTGTTCCAAACCAAGTCTAGCTACGCAGACCCGCTGCCAGGCAGGATCGACACGACCCTCTGGCGCAACCAGCTTCTCCTGGTCAACACACACAAACCATCACAAACCCTCCTCTGCCAACTAACCAAGAAGGTTCCAAACCCCTACCCAGGTGAGGCCTGAGCCCAAACCAGGCCAGAGGGAGAAAACAAACGAACTCAACCGGCGCCCCGGCAAAAGGAACCACCCAAGGCCTGGAGCAATCCCAAGCACTAGTGTGCTCCAAACCCGGAACCTGGTGACCAGCCAAACACTCCCACTTGAACACTCCAAGATCCCCTGGCTTGCCCGAGGGCAATTTCCAGTTTTCAAAAAACAGTTAAGTTCGTTTTTCGTAGGAGACGGGCCGGAATATGCCGTCAGTTCTCTGGGAAGCGGCCCAACGCGGGCGCATAGCCAGCCTTGCGATCCCCAGGAACACATCGCCAGCCTTGGAGTGAGTGAAACGAATTGTTCTTTGCTCAAGGCAACACCCATCGCCAACAGAAATCAGTTGGATTCAGTTTGGGATGTGTTCAAGACGTCACCTGCCCCTGGCCCATCGAATCACGTCTGACAAGAAGCTACTAGTCAGTGCACCCTCGCATGTTGGCAAGAACAAAGTAATACAAAGAGATGAGTGAATGAATGACCAAGAAAACTATGCGATCGAACGTTGACCGTTGACCAAACAAGCAAAACCCCATAATATTCCAATTGAGACAGTACGTCCCCTTTCAGCACCCCAAACCTGCTAGGTAACTTGTGCGCAAATTGTGTTGAATGGTGTCCAATCTTGGACCACTACTACTGGACTTTGCGGACACCTACGACAATACTCGAACAATCTCGCTTCATCTCACTTTGACAAAGGAAAAGGATGCAAAAGGAGTGGGGATCGAAGTCTTCATGCGCCAGTGAGTCCGGTGTTCAGACGGTCCAACGGCCGAGGAACACCAGATCGTCTTGATTCGGCACGCGTGGATCAACACGGTGTCCTCGTGCGCAAACCTCACAAACCGACCGCGCGCACGGTGACGTGGGAAAGGCAGGTAGGCAGTGGGGCACCAGTTTCGGCTACCTGACTCGGGTGATTGATTCATGGTGATTGGACAAAGGATCATTAAGCCCCTGCAGAAGGCGCTATGTGTTACTGCGGTTTTTGTAGGCTGTGTTCAGCACACGTTGCTTTCCACAAAACAGAGCACATTAGGGCTGACATGGCACTGGTCAATCCCCGGGACTGCTGGTTGCACCCAGTACAAAGACTGACTCTTGCATCCTCTGTCTGCACAAAACACGTTTAAAACATACCGGTGACTATGCAGCTGCTGTGTTTGAAAAGAACCTGGACACCTCCATGTCCCATGTCCGTACACCAACGGGGGGCAACAAGTGGAGGCAACAAACCCGGCTCGTTCGCTGCGAAATCGCTGGGATGTGACATGTTCCTTCTCGGTCAACGTGTGAATCGTTCGGACATCCAACTTGGGTTCCTACACATGCAACGCCATTTTTGACCAGCTTGGTGACAGCATTACCTGTGGCACAAAGTGTTCACTGATGTCAATAATATATATATAGAGGTATGGCAAAGCATAATAGTCAGGTAGTGCAAGTTTATTGCAAGATGCAAGATATTGTGCAATAAATTTGAAAGTGCATATGTTTGGAGCATTCCTTGCGTGTTTAACAAGGAATTTGGCCAAGTGAACACTTGCTGTTTGCATGGCTGTTTCAATAAAGCCTCACCTAATTTGGCTTGGCTAGGCTAACTTAGCTTGCTTGGCTCCAGACTGGGGAAGCAAGAAATAGTCTTGCGATCTGTGTCTTCATGCTCTGGAATCTCTTCCATGGATGTGTGACCTTGAACAACGAACCTCAGGTCGTGGAAATGGGATCATCAACGCTGCGGTTCGGCAGCCTTCGATGTTGATATTCCATAATTACGCTCAAATTGCAGTACAGTAATTATTGTGGCCTCAAGCGCTTGTTTTACCATGTGTCACATCCATCCAGAGCCACCACCAATCACAACCATAGTTGTTCACATCTTTGAGATAGTCATGAAACAAGTGAAACAGTCATGAGCCTTTGGATGGCGGCACCAATGACCAGAAATGACTATATTATTTTCTGATCTTTTCTGTCTGTATTTGCTCAGTCACTGAGTGTGCTACTCCCATTCGTGCTCGGATCTCAGCATGTTCATTCACTCCAAGAAGCTTCTGTTCTCTTCCATTCTGCAATCTCTGCAACGCAAACTATCCATCTTTACCATCTTAACCTGTTGCCGTGTTGTCCATCCCATCTTTCCATCTTCGTGAAGCTGAGGAAGTGACTGGCCCTCGTCTTTGGCATTTCCAGGTCTTTCGCCATTTTGTTCCATGGGAGACCTGAACTTTCGCGCCAGTTCACTGTTCGGCAAAGCATTCTATTGTATCGGTCCATAAAGACTTCAACTTGGTCGCGGGCGATCTGTGCGTGTCATCTAACCCACCTCAATGTGCCACATGATCCACGTGAACAATCTACAAACAGCTACAAGGAATAGTGATGTGTTTCTGCACCATGGACATCAAAGATACGCAAAAAAAAACACATCGGAATCGAGTAATATTTGAAGAAAAAAAAAGCAAGCATCCGCTTCTCTGTCCTTCACTTCTTGGAGTACCCCGGCTTTCGGGCGACTGCATCGGCTCCACGCCTTTCAGCTCCTGCACCGTCGGTCCAGCTGTCTGGCACGGTTTAGATCGGTCTGAGCTGTCGGTGGGTGCCTCTGGATGCAAGGTGGTGGTGTCCACCTCCGCTGTCCGTGCGCCGTGGTGCCGCGACATCATTCGATGGGAATTGGCCGAAAGAAAGGGCTCAGGAATGGCTCACGAATGGTTCACGACTCACGACCTTGTCTTCGGCCACGGGAGCCACTTCAGCAGCTTCGGCTTCAGCAACTGTCCGACTTGAATGGTTCAAATGATTGGGGAAGGGAGTGGCTCACACGACTTGGTTCAACTATCAATGACTTGGTGCAGTTTACAAAGCGAACGGTGCTCCCAGCTAACCAGCCTTTGGCAGAAATCGTACCGTTCACATAAGGGGCGTCGCTCACTGGTCCAATTTCTGCCGGCGCGCTCGGCACACTGCTAGCTTCCACCTGAACAGCTGGGGCTCCCCAAGGAACTCGCGCAAGCAAATTGACTCGCCAAGGAGCCAACAAAGCACGTTGTTTATACATGTTTATACAAGATTTGTCCTCCACTGTAGCACTAAATCCATGTTTTTTCGGTATGCCGGCCCTTTAAAAGTCCAATCTCCAATCAGAACCAAGGTGTTAAAGGTTAGGGAAGTTAAATGGGAAGGCGTGAAAAGCTGATGACACGAAAGGCACCTCGGGTGATTCTACAGAATCCGCCTCCCGGCTTTGCATCTTCTCTCAATGAAGTGCCACATTCACTCACATCAGAAGAATGCAATGAATCCAAGGACCACGAACCCTGAAAATCTCAAACTTTCTGCCTGGTGACTGCGCGACTTCTCCAAGTCAATCTCGTCCACCTGCACGGAAAGGACGGAGAATGAAAACAATGAAATGCATGGTCCCTTGTCCCTCGACGTCTACCCTCCATTCTGATATCGTGCCACATGTCTGGGTCAATGGCAACAGATATATTCGTCATTATTCGTCCAAGCCCAGTTCGGGCTCCGTGTTACAGTGTGGCGGGGGGCCTTTGGCGGTGGCGGCTTTGGTTCCCAGCCCCAGTCTATGAAGCCTCCCCACTTGCGGGCGAGACTTCGTCATCTATCAAGAACCCCATGTGAGTTTTCTTGATTTGGAGACGCCCCCATGCCCTTCCCCGTCGTTGACGTCATCCCACACAGCTGCGCGTGAGAAAACCCCGCGCCCTGCGGTTTCGAGGCCGTGCCTCCTCAGGGATTGGTGCCGGTGCAAAGCTGCTGCCATTTCGCCAAAGCAGTTGCGGCTCCTGCGGAACTGCATCAGAACTAAAACAAAAAAGACCACCTGGAAGAAGGAACGTTGATCACAAAGGAACATGGGCAGTTGAGGGTTTCCCTATTCAAATACACCCTCAAACTGCCCATGCCTAACTTGTCAACCTGTGAAGCGCGGCACAGTTCTTTCTGCCGTGACGGAGTCGAACAACCATGTCCTGTGGCTTTTCGAGCTTGGTACTGTCAGCGTATCTTTTGGCAGTGGCCAAATGCTCTTCCAAAGCACGAGATGTACTTTGAGCCTGCAAAGGTCTGAGGTCTGCAGATTGTGACTTGTTCTCTTCCTAGTGAGGCTGTGGAAATTGCATGAAAATATGTTAGGAGGATCAAGCGCCTGGGCTAGCTGCCACTGCAGCTTCTCTGCAAAGGCCTCTAGTGCCTGGAGTGGTTCAAGAACGAGTCTTTGTACTTTCAAGTACAAGTCGGATCAAATATGGATCAATTAGTGTGAAAGGTGATGTGCACAGCCCTTAAGGTGCACGCGTCATGCTACAAGAGGTAGTCTGGAAGTGACTATGCTTGGTGGTATGGGTGGGCAGAGGTTCACGAACCGCAGGTTATGAGCCCAACGCCGAGCGTTGGTTAAGGATCCAGGAATGGATTGGTTGGAGCATGTGGCATGCCATGGGCGACATGGAGCATGTGACAAGCTGTGGGCGGCACATGACGCGTGACAAGCAGATGGGCGGTGCTCAATGAGTGGGTGCATGGCAGCTACTGCGGTGTGCGGGGTGTGGCAAGCTATGGCGGCATGCAGGGTGTGGCAGCTATGGCGGCATGCTGGGGCTGGGTGCCTAACAGCCGGTGCGGTGGCTCGCGACCCAGCAACAAAGACGCGAGGTTGGAAGCTGTGCCATCATTCATACATGCAACCTGCAGCATGGTGTGGTCTGCAGGTTGGGGGGAGTGTGAAAGGTGATGTGCACAGCCCTTAAGGTGCACGCGTCATGCCACAAGAGGTAGTCTGGAAGTGACTGTGCTCGGTGGTATGGGTGGGCAGAGGTTCACGAACCGCAGTTTCAATGCTGTGTAAACTGTGTCTTTGCTCTTCTTGAGAACTTGAGACCTACTCCGGAGCTGCGAACTTCCAGATCAGGCCTTGGTTTCCTCGCACGAGCTTTCATGTGGCCGCCGCAAAGCCTACAACAAGAGGAGCAGGAACTCATGACATATGCAAATTGGATCGCACTCTAGATGTTATCTTATGTCCTTATGTGATCTTGTTATATATTATATATATATATCTTATCCCCGGAGTGACCCAAGGTGCTGTTTGGAATGACAGTTATCCGGTCATTCATCTCTTTCTCATATGAATTATATATATTATCATATATTATCTATTATATTATATAACTTAGAATTCACATATGTCAAATTAATTCCATTGCTACAACCCTGACAGCAGGCACTCCAACCTTTCTGCGAGACCAAACATGAACGAGCATCGCACAGTTTCATGCAGTCCTCTGCTGTCTGGATCTCAAGCGCCTGTTGAGCCTGGAGTGGCGACGATCGTAACTATGACACAGTGCTACCAAACGCACCACACAAAGCCAAAAACACCAAGTTCCGCAAAGCGCTCTTCCATTATGTTCCGCAAAGCTTCATGCCTCACTGATTGCTCGGGAGAGGCGCAACAACCCATCCATCCGCCCGCTGCCCTGGCGTTCGGCCGTGCGCTGTCCGTTGCAACGGACGCCGGTGGGGCCGTGGCACCTGCAGCACCGAAGAGTCCGAAAGAGCAGGAAGCTCAGAGAGGCCTCGGCACGGTCCGATAGGCAAGCGAGTTGGACATCGAGTTCGAGTTAGGGCCTTCTTTCAAAGCCCCTTGTCTATGCGATGTTCGTCGTTTTCTCTTTTCTTTGGTTCACCATGGTCTAGGAGAGAAAAATGTCTCGGCTCAAGCCATGGTTCTTCCTGGTTTCAAGCCCCGGCCAAGTCAGCCACTTGCGGAAGCGCCTAATCTTAACGCTCGCGAAGCCTCAGTCAAAGAAGAACTGTCACTTTGAGAAGTGCAGAAGGCTCGACTCTAATTACTCTGATGCACAAAGGACCCAGACAGTTTGCGACGTCTTTGGTCGTGCTTTTCGCGTAGCAGACCTAATTCTGCAACATCGTAAAATTTTGACAAGCTCCAAGCTTGCTTCTTTGCTCGAATGCTTTGAGGAGCCAACGTGGAAGCTTGTCGAGCCCTTTCTGACAGCGGCACATGGCCTCCCCGACGGTCTTTTATTGCAGCACTTGGAAAGTCCAGCCAGTTTCGGTGCAGAAACTGTCCAAAACCATCCCAGAGCTAAGCGGGCAAACAATACGCACGTCTTTTCAAAAAGAATGTAAATGCATGTAAATGCATTATGATTTAATTGGTATGAATTGGTCCGTCTCTCAAGTTCACAGTTGTTTCTGAACGGCGCCTAAACTTTGGCTATCACTAGTGACTCTGGCCACAGCACGCTCTGCTGTCCGCAGGTACGGATCCTCAGGTGCATCCAAGCAGCACATCCCAGTTATTGAACAGATCCATTAATTATAAGTGCCTTCCCTCCAAATGTTCCAATTGTTTGACCCCTTTCCCTCGCTGAGAGGTATCAATAATTAGCCCTTGAGAGGTGTCGGTGTCGGTGTGTCCCAAGTTTTGTGTGGGATGGAGACTCCTCGCTCTCAGCTTGCCACTCTTGGAGGTGGTGAGGAGCGACGAGGTGTCGTGGAGGATCTCGACGATCTCGACGCCGTTCCTCGGGGGTTTCACGTTCGTCGCGAACCGTGACGGCGACGTGGCTGGCGACACAGGGGTCATAGCGGTGCAAGCTCTGGTGAAAAGCCTTCACATGTGTGTGTGTGTCACCCCC